CAGAAGCCAACGCCACCGCCAACGCCATCACCAATGCCAACTACAACAAAGCAGCAAAGAAGCCCAGCAAGGAAAAGTGGTCGCACCAAAGACCCAATCCTAAATCCTGGAGCTGTGCAGCCCTCAGTATTTTTCGTCTTCTGTTCTTTTTTTTTTTTGCTTTTTGTCGCTAGCTAGCTAGCTAGCTAGGAGGAAAGAGTCAAGCCAAACTGGAAGCCAAAACAGGAAGTAATCTATAGTCGCCGCCACTGTTTATTGTTTAATTTTTAGTCAACGTTATTGTTGTAGCTGTGGCTGCTCTTGTTGTTGTTGTTGTTGTTTTGTTACTGTCGTTTCTGTCTTTTTTATGTCGTCCTGCCTGCTCCTTGTTGTATTATTTCTATTGTTAACAATTTTTGCATTGCTATTGCAAGAAAGCAAAAACTTTTCAATGTACGGCCCGCCCATTGTTCGCTATCGTCCTCGTCCTCGTGCCCGTCGTCTTCGTTCACGTCCTGTTCGTCCTTTTCGAGCCCGCTGCTGTTGTCGTATGGCTGCCCTCGTGCCACTTGAGCACTACAAAGGCAACGAGGTAAAAACAGACAAAGACCAACGCCAAAGACGTTGACAGAGCCAGGCAGGCTGGCAGTCGGACTGGCGGACGGGCTGACAGACGGTCGGGCGGTCGGGCGGTTGGGCAGGCAGATATGTTGTGGGGCATCGGCATCGTTGGTATCCCTGGCCATGGAACACGCGCGCGCATTTACTAGGATTTCGTTTTATCGGCAACGCGACAACGTCGAGCACATCGAGGACAACTATGGGACGAAACCGTCACCTAGTTTCCATGGCATCTTCGCCTTTCCTTCGCCTTTCCTTTGCCTTGCCTTGCCTCGCCTTATTGCCTTGTGCCTTCTGCCTTCTGCCTTTTGCCTTATAACTGGCATTGTGTAATAGCTGCGGTGCTCTATGCCGATTATATTGGTGCCATTGGAACAACAACAGCAGCAGCAGCAGCAGCACTAGTTGGTGTACACATAAATACATATAGACGTATGTATATATTGTCTGGGATTGCAAACGTTTGGCAACTCAATGCGGCTGCAAACTATGGCTGGCATTGGCACTGGCACTGGCACTGGCAAGGAGCTGAGTTACATTTTCTTTAGCTGTTACTGAAACAAAGAATTATATACTAGTACGCATCTTTATCCATGAGATGAGATGCGATGAGACGAGAGGAGCACTTAAGTAGACTACAGTTGAGTCACTTTGATTTTGTTACCGGTGAAGGACACAGCCATAGACATAAGCAGTTGACAAAGCAACAGTGGAAAGTATTATCCCTTCGGTCAGCTAATTCCCAGCTGACTTACTGCTCTTTAATATTTCCATATGTGCGGAACACAAATGTTTAGCTGCTGTTTTGCAAAACGACAGATATAGGACAGCATTACTTGACTTTCAAAAATGGTTTTTATATAAGCAAATGAGCAGCACTATATGTGCTAGGCACTGGTCCTTTAAAGGTCCCTAAAAAAGGATTCATTAACGATGATTAATTCACGAAACTAACACTACTTGTAGCTTCAACCACAAAACTGAGAGCTGTTTATTTCACTCGAATAGAATTGCTTTTCTAAAATAATTATTTAAGGATCGCGATTGAAATCTCCCTTAATTCAAGAGAGAGAAAGAAGCTATGTCTGTTGAAATACCACTCAGAAAGATTAGGCAGCAAGGACATGTTGGCACTTTAGTTAATCTATACAAATAGATGAGCGCTACATTTTTAAGTGGCACTATGGAGCATTACTGGGTCACAAGGTATGTATGTTTTCTATTCTCCAGACGATATAATTCAGAGACATCTTCAAATAAATTCCCTCCACCTACACAACCGCAAAATGAAGACGCTATCGCCCTGAGAGTGGAATTTGGCAGCACCTTAAGGCTACAAAAATGCATTTTTTAAAATAAACAATATCATAATGCTTCAGAAATTTGCGCATGCCTTACACTATAAATATATATAGATGTATTATTATTTAAATTACTTAAAACTATCGTTATCTCTTGTTGGTTGGATGCTTCTGTTTACTTATAAGTACTACTGTGTGTGTTCACTTGAATTCCATTGTCAGTAGAGGGGGATAGCTATATGGGTAGCAGGATTTTTAGACTAATTGCGGCTCCAACAGATGTAAGAGATAAGTTAATTATTACAGCTAGTTTATAAATGTACACTTAAATGATCCAATAACACGCATTTGCTTGTGGATTATTCCTAAAAGCCCATAAAAAATAGATGCCATTGTTTTATTCCTCTTCTTTTTTTTACAACCGTGAAAAATATCACATTTTCAGACTTAATCAAAACCAACAACAAAATGAAAGAGAATTGGAACAAATAAACTGAACTCGAGAAAAATAAAAACTGATGAAAAAATTGCATTCTGAATTGCCGTAATTTTTTGCATTTTTTTTTTTTGTTTTTTTTTTTTTTGTATTTTTTTATTGTTATGCGCCTTTGGAGGACGCTTAGATAGAGCGTTAGGTGTGTGGGTGTGTGTGTGTGTGGATGTGAGGTGTGTATGATTTTTGTTTGGTGTTATTGTTGATGTTGTTGTTGTTTTGGAAAACATATAAACAAATGGCTTAGACGCAGACAATGGGGACATTTAGGGATTTGTTTTGGGGGAGTTATTTTTGGGGGTACAACATATAAGGATATTTCTTTTATATATATTTTACTTGGTTTATATTTATTAACTCTGTTTCGTTTTTCGTTTATAGGTAGAGATCAAGATATAACTGCTTATGCATTCTGCAATATACATATATGGATAAACATACATACACGTATATATTCGAAACCTATTTGCTTAGCCAAGCCTTATCCAGCTTCTTTCTCTTTTCTGTTTACGAGTATGTTTTTATTTGTTAACCAAAATTCGTTGAGAACGCAAAAACGTAAAACTATCGGAGATGAATTTGTTATCATAAAAAGCTTTTATCAAATCAAGAATAAAGTGACACAAACGAACAATCGAGTAAACTATGAAAGGTACAGATACAGATACAGATAAAGATAGAGTGATATATATAGAGAGACAGAGAGGTATATGTAAGATAGATTGATAGACAGATATTGGTGATTGATGATGAAGAGTAATAAATGAAATAAGAGGAAATGGAAATGAATTTAAAAATGGTGAGTGAGAGATAGAGATAGAGTGAGATAGAGACAGAGTGAGAGTGAGAGGGAAATTCGCTAATTTCTTCTTATCTGGTGAACTTTTTTGTTGTTGTGATAAATAACGATTAAATAGAATTAGATAAAGACAGAGAAAGAGATAGCAGGAGAGCGAGTAAAATAGAGCTTAACGAGTTTTTGTTTTTTTTCTTATCATTGTTGTAGTAGTAGTAGTTGTTGTTGTTGTGATAAACGAGCGAGTTGCGGTTGGTTGGTTGGTTGGTGATAACAAAAAAATAAAACAAAACTTCGAATGTAATAATACTTGTATAAATCAACAATGGACTGTCTTCTCAAATGAAATAATGTATGTAAGTAGTATGCCATTCATGCTATCGAAACAATGCGAATATATGTACTCGTATACAAGTATATAGTAAAGATAGTATGTATGTATGAAACGAACAAACGGAAAATAGATACAGTTTGGGAACACAAACGTATTGGTGACTTTTTGTTGTTGTTCTGGTTTTGCTTACTGTTAGTATGCATGTTAATATTTGTTAATTTGTAATTTCATAGAACAACTGAAAGAGAAATGAAAAAACAAACTAAATACACATAGACACGTACACATAACACATACGAATATATAGTTGATTATTTTCATAATATAATTTCCTTGCATTTTCATCTGGCTGTTTCTTTTGTAGTAGTAATATAGTTGTTGTTCTTGTTGTTGATTGTTTTGTATTCGTATTTGTACTTGGCTTTGTTTTTTTTTTTTTTTTTTGGCTGCTTTTTTGCATTCGCCCTTCAGAATATGCCATAAAGAGTCGAATCTGCGTGTAGGTGTGTGTGTGTGTGTGTGTGTGTGTGTGCAGGTGTGTGCAGGTGTGTGTGTGTGTATGTGAGTTAGAAAATGTGTGATAAAAATGCTTTAAAAAGGAAGAGGCTTTTATCATTTTTTCCATTTCCATTCGACTGTTAACAAATGCTGGTTTATTTTATTTACATAAATTGTATGGTTGGTAATTCTTTACTTCACATTTGGAATTATAAAATATGATAATGTGCATGCCTTTGATAAATTGCGAATGAATATTATTTACAGCAAATCTGCAGCCACAGTAGTGTGGATGGGTATTCGAATGCTAGCGAAAATCTCTATTAAAACGCCTGTCTGAAGAAGAGCAGTTGCTGATATACGGGCTGTTTAGATAATTCTTTCTTGCGGTAACAATGAAAGCACAAAATATCGGACTCAACATATTCAAAATTTTACGAAATGTAGTTGAAAATAGAAATGTTCTTATAGGAGTCCTCAAGATGGAACCACAGAGGTACCACATAAAAATGAAGCTGCAACAAGTACAGGTGTGATGAAAAGCACACTCATGCCCAACATTTCTAACAGAGTTCGGCGACAAATCCTCAGATATTTGAGTTTATTTTTGGAGTATTTTTGCTGCACTTCGCAATTGATCAAAGCATGTTTGTTTGAGAGGTAGATTGGAATAATTTGATTGCGGATGCTTAGATGTTTGAAAGTAAATAGAAAACTTTTTGGAGTACTCTGGATGCATAGTACGAGTATATGAATGTATAGTATGACTGATGAATGGGGGCCACAAATAAAATCGATGCATTCGGATGTAGTAGGGGGAAAACGAAAAATCAGAAGAACAAAAATGCGACTAGTTGGCCTAGGCCGGAATACAAATATTGTTTTCGTACCATACGCCTGTGTTTATCCTTGCAAGTTTTGGTTTTCTTTTGTTTTGTTTTTCTTTTGGTTTTTTGTTTTTGTTTTTGTTTAACTTACCAAGGTGTGAACGAGCTCCAGAAGAGACTACAAATTCACGGGTCGAGAAACGTAGTTTGGTTTTGGTTTTGGTTTTGATTTGGTTTGGTTTCATTTATTACGATTTATCATATGCAGTTATCGTTTTGTGAAGGTTGATTTGCATAGGAAATGCATTGATTGGTGTTGTTGAAATTTGATTTGATTTGATTTGGTTTGATTTTTGTTTGTTTGTGGTATTGGTTTTGGTTTAGCACACAACATGAAGGTATCGAGCCACAGCAACAGAGTAGGACAGTACACAATTAATTGACAGGACAATAAAAAAGAAATTAAAAGACAAAATGCTTTTCGTTAACGAATTAATCAAGTTAATTTAAATACTTTTTTGTTTCTTTTTTTTGTTTTTTAAATATATTTTTGCAGCGCTCGCTAGCAGCTAGCAGCTAGCTAGGCTTACTTAGCTTTTCATACCTAGGAATTAGGAGTTCGATTTATGCTTTGGCACAATACGAGAACAAAAAATATTGAACAAAGTAAATTTGTAACGTCACGTTAAGTAAACAACAAATCAAAAAAAAAAAAAAAACACATTTGACAAACACACTTATACTTTTCTTATTTAATTCTTTACGCTTCGTTTTTGTCATCGTTGCAGAGGGGGCGGGGCAGGCGGTTCATCGAGCGGACTTCTTATAATCATTGTTTGTTTTCTCTTTTTCTTTCTTTCTTTTTAGTAATGTTAGTTGGTTAAATTGTTGTTATAAGTACATAAGAAAATTAAGAAACTGATTGGTTCAGACACACACATTTACATACATAATAAGTAAGTAAGTAATATTGATAATTACTAATATTGGAAATGAAAAATGTAAACTCAAGTGGATTTCTTCTAAATGCAAATTCTCATTCGTTTGTTTCGAAAATAGTTTTAAGTCCTTGTTTGCTTTCATTGTAGGATGACTATTAAATGAATAGCCTTTTCGGTTGCCTATTTATCTTTGTAATACTAATTGTTTCCGCACTCTATGCACAGCATAGATTCTAGAGAAATAAATAAAAAAAGAGTTCAACTGAAAAGAGTCACAAATCATAACAACAACAAAAAAGTACACTTTCGACTGTTTATTGTTGCAGGTTCGTCCTGCGTTTTTCTGAATTCAAAATAAGTACCATTACACTGAAAGTTATTAAGAACAGAACCAAAGCAAATCAGAGTAAAACTTATTCACTTTTGTCTTACACACATACGCTAAATACGTTTGGAAAAAAAAGAAAAATGCGATCAACCTAGACACAGGACAATGGTAGATGCATTTCCGGTCAGCATTAGAATGTCTTTTGAATTCAAATGTATATCTTGTTACAGATTCATGGGAGACAGAGAATCATTGAATATACAGAATAGAGTATATACCGTAAAATATATATACTATATAGTTGAAATGCACGCACCACTGGCCTGTTTGTAAAAGTTACAGCAAACTAAAGACTCGAGCGAACCACAAATGAGGATTTCAAATGACGAACATAAAATTCTAGAGCACATCGACTGCAAAAGTTATCTAATTTGCTTGCAGCGTCACTTTAGATATAGGTAGTACGAGTATATGGGTATCTTATGTCGGCATTCCCAACAGATGAATGCCTGTTGTTTGATATTTTAACTAGCATATTTATAGTATTTAATTTTCATAGTTTGTTTTTTGTTTGTTTTGTTTTGTTTGCTTCTTTTTTTTTAGGGTAAGACGAACACAAGGAGGTAAAACACTAGACAACACACATACTCAATGAAGTGCTATCATTATTTTCGCTTTGGATTTGAAAAAACAGCTTTACACAATTATTGCTTTCTCATATATATATTTTTTTGTATAGGTATATAGATCAAACGTATTTCGAGAATGGGAAATGAAGCGGCAAACGAATGTAAATGAAAATTGTCAAGAAAGGAGGAGCCGTAACGCATTTGTGTCGCAAATGCTTCCAGTTCCAAACGCAAAATCCAACTTAAACGAACATAAAATGTTAAACAGTTTTTCTTTTTTTATTATTGCTTAATTTTTTTCTTGATTTTGTAGATTTTTTTCGTACCCTACTTTTGAGGCAGGCAAGAAAAGAAAAAGCTCAAACTAAGGAAATTTTGTGCGCTTTGCGACGGTTGCGAATTCTTGTTAGTTCAGCGGCCAAGAAACGAAATGAAACCGAAATGTGAATAAACAATAGAACTAAATCGAACTGAGTATCACAAATACTTATAATAACCATAATAATAATAAATAGAAGAAGGAGAAGAAGAACGAAGAAGAACGAGTACGCGAAAAGCAAACGTTTAATTTCACATTTTGTTCTTTCTTTTTTTTAGGTTTGTGCTGCAAGCACGTCCAACGCATAAATGATAGACTCATTGAGGGGAGAGAGGCGTTCGGGATTGTGGGAATGTGATTGCGGGTAAATTTTTTATTTTTTTTTTTCATTTTTCTCATTGAATTGATTGATTGATTGATTGAGACTACTTGAATGTGTTTAGTTGAAGTTCGAAAACATATATAAACAAGTTTCAATAACAATTTCATTTTACGTTTTCAATTTTTTTTTTTGTTTTTTTTTCTTTTTCTTTTTTGGTAAAGCATAAGTGAAATATTATATAAATATATAGAGAGATGAAAACATAAAACTCATACACGTTATACAGTAAAAATTTGAGCTTTTTCTCTTCGTTGCACCCAGCAAATGATGGACCACAGAACGTAAGATTAGATTAGAATACTGACGCTTAAGTAAAAGTAAAAGCTATTCGAGATCTTAAGGATGACAAAACAAAAAAGACTTTTCCGGTGCACACATCATGTGCAGTTATATATGATTGATGACATACATATATAATTGAACATATATATATGTGTACACACTATATTAGAGCATCTTTTCTTTTATGTTTCGACGAAACAAAAATCGTTCACAGAAACTTTCAAAACTCAATTGCAACAACTAAAAAAAAACCATATTGCTCAATGCGAAGCATTTTCCATAGAATTTAGCATGAGATTTTTGCTTGAATATAAATATATATATATATTGTAGTTATATATATTGGAGACCTAAGCTGCGCACTAGGAAGTTATACAACATATATATATATATAGAATAACCATATGATTACGATACTAATTGGCTTTCTACTTACTTTTCACTGTACTCGTCCATGTGTGCATACGACTGCACCGAGTTCTCCTCGATGAGGAACTTGACGCGCTGGTAGAAGGAAGCGGTGACCGAGGGGGGCTGTTTGCGCAGCAGCACCTCGACAGGATCATTCGAAGATAGGCACATAATGTGCTCCGCACAGACTGCATCCGAGCAGCACTCGCTGTCCGAGCAATCGGTCATGCCATCTGTATGGGATTCGCGTTAAGCAAGTTGGAAGAAAAAGTGTGTTAGGTATAAACAAAGTGTTATCTCTCTATAGGATTATATATACGTAGGAATGTGAACAATATAGCTAAAGCCCTATCCAACTTAATGGATAGGTGATCTATATATTTAATTCCACGATCCTGCCAAACGAAATTCTGCAACGAAAGCTCAATTGCAAAAACTGAACGGTACAAGATATAGTATTTGAATACCAAGCTAGTTATGGAGTTCATAGAAATGTTAGGTTTTCAATTAAATTAGCTTGGTTGGCTAGCAGGATAAGACGTCCTTATTTCAATGGGAGTCTGTTTTGTTTTCGACTTTGTTGCTTAATCTTATTTAAATGTCATCCCTGTTCAATTTTAATTGAATTGCGACAAAAATTGATGGCACTTACCGTTATCGTTATCGATATTATCCTTGCAATTTAGCTCTAAGGCAATGGAGCAATCGCTTCCGGCCCAGCCCTGAATGCAGTCGCAGCGATACTCGCCATTCTCCAGTGTACACTGACCATGACGGGAGCAGCCATTTTCGCAGCCAGCTAAGGATTCAAAAATATAAAGAGTCGGCATGAGTATATAGAGTATATACTTGTAGTACATATTTGCACAGAATATGCAAGTGTGGGTGTGTTTGCGTACACATATGTACATGCAAAGGTACAAACGAGTGCCTCACTCGAATAACAATTTCAAAGCTGTTTGCGCCTCTCTATGCGCTTCTCACGACAGCGAGGGACAGACAGGGACAGGCAGGAACAGGCAGACAGACAGACAGGCAGTGCTGCAAGGTGAACATTTCTTGTAATTAAAAGTAAACTACATGGATTATTCAGTTGTATTTGCGAAAGTTATGGCATTGTCATAGCTGCCAGGCAGGCAGGTGGCGCGGCAAAGAGTTGAGGGCGAAAGAGTTGAGGACAAGAAAGGTAAAAAGGCGCAGCAGAGCTCGGCGCAGGATAGCGCAGGATGGCGAAGCGTCATAAAGTGCCTTGTTGAGTGTGCCGATTAAATTTGAATGATAACAGAAGTGGTACTTTGCCGATTTCAAGCAGTATAGCAGGGAACTCGCTTAGTCAGTCAGGGAGGAGGTTAAGGGACTCAGGTCGTGTGGCAGCTAGGCAGGCAAACAGACAGACAGACAGATAGACGGGTAGACGACTGTGGGGTGCCCATGTTCCTTTTCTTTAGCTAACAGCATTAATATAAAAATAATGTTAATGTTTGCTCTTCAAGTCGAAGGACCCTTCACATATACACAACAACACACGCACATATATATACGAGTATGTATGTATGTGTGTATATAAATGTATATATATGTATATATATATATATATATGTGTGTATATTTATATATGTACACGCACACAACATAATAAAAGAAATGTGCAGAAATCTACAAAACAGTAAACATAAAAAGTCAACGAAACGTAACGTTAACGATAGATGCGTGTCGCTTTCTCCCTCTCTCCGTCTCCCCTTCTCTCTCAATCTCTCTCCATCTGAGGCATTCTCTTGCTAACTGGCAGTTTGATGCTGTTTCGTTGCTGTTGCTGTTGTTGTCGCTGAGCTGGTTTATTTGTTTGTCCCACGACAGCGACAGCAGCAGCCATAGCAGCAGCAGTAACAACAACACCACGAACGGAACGGAACGGAACGACCGGCACGACACAGCATTTGACGCAAAGTTAATGTCACTTGACATGTGTCATTTGCAAAATGGGTAACCTCGACGCTAACTCAACTTCCGGTATGTTAAAAAGTTTGCGGCGCATAAAATGACTTCCTTGTTGTTACTGCTTTCCTGTTTACGAGTGTGTATACGAGAGTACTCGTGTGCGTGTGCGTGTGTATGGCTGTGTGAGTGTATTGGCAATAACGTCAAGTGTTGTTGCAAATATTGAGAGATGTGTGTGCTGACGTTGCCCTTACACTCACACACACACACACACACACACACACACACACACACACACAAACACATATACACTGACACGCACGCGCACTCAAGCGCCTACAAGTATGCGTAAGTTTCAAATTGGGTTTTATGTTAAGTTTTTCCACGAAATGCGCTCAGCTATTGAAATGAAGAAAACTGTAAAACTTCCACGAAATCTCAGTCCTAATGCAGCTTTCAACTTTCGGTTGAAACACGCAACAATATGACAGACTACTAGCCTGTCTTAACTCACAGTCCCCAATAGCGATTTGTCTGAGACTAAGCCATATTACTACTGATGTCTCGAACTGCAGCATATATAGATCTTAAGCGATTTGTGCTCCATATGCTGACAAACCAGCTAAGTGTAACTCACGGAAGACGATCATAAGCATTTACTTTTGAGTGAAAATGTGCATATTTCGTTAGCAGATATAATTATGAGTTGTGGCGATTAGCCAGACTAGCCAGTATCGCAGACTAGACTAACGTAACTCGAGACTCTTCTGGACAACTGGCTTGAAATTTGTACTCATTATTCCTTAAGCTGTAAACCAGAAATTATCTATGATTGCCCTGGATTTCTAACATGAACTCCCTTATTTATCTTGATAATGATTGCTGTTGTTCGACTTGATTTTTGTTGCTGTCATTAAGCTGTTTAGAGATCTCTTTGTCACTCAAACAGATGAACTTGAACAGATAAGCGCAGAAGTTGATTAGAACCAGAACTCAGTACATATAGCGGCCGCAAATCTTTCAGCCCTTTAACATATATGTGGTTTTACGCGTGGCAACTGCAGGCAGTCCTCTAAGGTGGTAATAAAAACCAAATGCCTGATGGCCAGATAGAACGTAACGAGCATTTTTGACACAATACATTGTAAATATTGAAGAAGGCGCCGGCGTGCATAAAAAGAGACCTAAACTATGGCATAAAATCTATATGAGCGCCTAGTGTCAATGGCTCCCCGTGTCACATGTTTGCGTGCGCGTGTGTGTGTGTGTGTGTGTGTGTGTGTGTGTGTGTCTGTCACTTCTGCCGTCGGCATAAAAATTTATCTACACTTCAATATCGCAAAGCACAATTTGTTACAAATCTCTGCTCAAATTCAATAAACTTTACCGCATTGTGTGCGTCGCAGTCGACGCTTGGTCGCGAATGTGTTACGTGATATCTGTGTGAGTGAGTGAGTGTATGGGTGTGTGTGTGTGCGAGTGAGTGTGTGGGGGAGCAGTTAAAAAACACGCTGCAAAGTCGTTAAGTACTTTCTAAAAATACATACAGCAACCACCATACACACACCCACAAATATGAGCAAGGGCATTCATTCTTTATGTATGCATATGTGTGTGCGAGTGTGTGTGTGTGTGCGAGTGTGTGTGTGTGAGTTGGGTTATTGGGTGGCACTTTGTGCTTGTGCAAGCGTGACTCGCACGTCTAAGCGCTCCTCCATCTGCAAACCAAGCTGGAACTTTGGAGCTGCTGCAACACTTGAATCGATTGAAAGCGTCGCTCCCTCCTCCCTCCTCCCTGCCCCCCCCCCCCTGCTCCCTATTCACTGTTTCCTGACTCGACTGGCTCGACTGACTGAAATGACGTCGGAAGTTTTATTGGTTTTGCACACGTCAACGAAATGTAATACACACACACACACACTCGCACTCACACTCACACACACTCGCACACACACACACACACACACTCACTCGCATGGTATGTAATGCCATTACATGCATGCCTGAGTCCCATGCTCATGGGTCGTCGCCGACAATGTTTTTGTAACATGACTGTTTGTTTTTAAAGTTTTAATCACTGTCAATCGATAGCTACTTATCATGGGTGTACGATGTTTATGTGTGTGTGTGTGTGTGTGTGAGTGTGAGTGTCAGCTAAAAGCCTTTCCATCGCATCCATAGCCGAGCCCTTGGTGCCTTCAATTGACAGTTGTTGTTGTCATTGTTGTTGCTGTTGTTGCTGTTGCTGTTGCTGATATTGTGCAGTGGCGAGAAGAAAAATCCCAAAACACGGCATAGTGTTCGATTTTATTTTGTATTTTGTGTTTCGCATTTTGTATTCTTTTTTATTTTCGTACTCTACTGCTCTCTTACTTTGTGCAGTGAACAACATGGTTAAGTCGTGGCGGCAAAACTGTCAAGCGCACCAGTAACGACAACAGCAACAGCAACACCAACAGCAACACCAACAATTACAGCAGCAACAACATGCTGACTACTATAGCGACACTTTTGCAGTTTGAATTTTGCCAAACGTTACGGCCAAATGGCGTAAACATGTACAAAATACATTGGTGTGCCAAAGGGAGGAAAAAAATAGAAAAAAAAGAAGAATTCAAAATCAAAGAGAGAAAAAATTGAAAGAAGAGTGAAAAAAATTGATAAAAAGCTTTGGCGTTGACTTTGTCTGCTGTGCCAGAATGCCTCACTGGCTCTTACAGTTGTTGTCGTTGTCGTTGTCATTCTTGTTGCTGTTGTTGTGATTACTGTTGTTGCTGCTGAAAAATATTTGAACAGGCAACGGCAACGGCACGGGCATCGGCATCGGCAACTGCAACGCCGCAATGTTTTTGGCTGCTTTGGCGCGTTGCGACATGCCATGGAGCCCTAATCGCAGTTGTTGTTGTAATGCTGGTGGTGCTTGTTGTTGTCAGCATCAGCATCAGCATCAACGCCGCTGCGGTTGCTTGGATTTTTTCATTTTTCATTCACTATTTTTTTATCCTTCGCTCTTTTTTTTCATTTTTTTTTTGGTAAAACGCACTCATCGATTGACCGCCAGCTAAAATGCTTTTATATGTATATGCATGTGTGTGTGTGTGTGTTTCCCTTTTTGATACTCGAAATGTGATAATTGTGTGCTCACAGACTCGTATATATATTTAGATAAGTATAGCCGATTTTACGTACCACCAACCGAGGGATTATGCACACACAAAAGGACGATATAGACTCTTAAAAAGCAAGTATCAATAACACTACAACTACAGAGCTATTTCATAGTACGAGGATTAATATGGGCTTATAGAAAAATCGAGGAGTGCTAGGCAATACCTTAAGCTACCTTTTCATGACTTATTTACTGGCGATATTGTCCAAACTTATCAGTTGCAGAAACCAACATTATTATACGAAGAACTGATACCGTTTTTGTCTAAACAACCCGTATTTTATTTACTTTTATAGTTTGCTCTGTCAAAGGAGAGAATGCCTTCATAAAAACTCATTGGTAAAGCTTTAGCAATAGATAAAGCAGCAGAGCTATGGCCACCATTTCCCATTGTCGGCTTTCCTATTGCGCGAGTATACGGATATGGTTCTTCCATTCAATTGCTTTCTTGGCCTAATACAACGACAACTATAGTACTACTAAAAATAATTTGGAGGTGCACCTGGCAGTTCTCATAATTCTTAAACTTAAGCAAACTTTAAAATAAAATTACTAATGCGAAACAATTTATCGTTGCAGCACTCCTCATTCGCAAGCTATTGTTATTGTAAAAACTATTATTCGACATTTTAGCAGGTATTTTTCGATTTATTCAATTAGGTAAACAATTTATTTTGAAGTCGCATTAGTTCAATGAGGATTCAAACGAAATTCCATTTGTTCATGCAAACTAATTGCTGAGAAATCGATTCTGATTTAAAAATCCAACGCTAAATGAAACGAAAATTCTTGTTCCAACGTGGGAATCTGATATATAGGAGGTACTTGTAAGTCTTTGAAGAATCCCTTGTGGCAGCTTGAATTTGAAGTTGCAATGCAGCTGGCGCCTATGAGAATCGCGGAGAGGCTCACAATTACAAACTAATTATAAACAAATAGAATAGGTATACTCTGCTTTTAGAGTGCCTGACTATTCTGTGGCCAGCTGGCAAATGCCGTCCTGCCGTTGCGTGATGTGCAAGAGTACACTTAGATGGGGCGTTGTCTTCTCATCCGTAACGCCAACAATTGGGCCACACCAGCTGTGTGACCTGCCTTTTTGTTTCAACCACACTTGCCCCACAGATACTCGTACACATGCAAGTATGTGGTTGTGCTCCCTATGTATGTATATGTGAGTGTGAGTGAGTGTGAGTGAGTGTGTGTGTGTGTGTGTTTGTTTATGTAATGTGTGCCAGAGCTTGGCAGAGGATTTGTACTTACGTAGGGTGCAGTGTCTGCCATTCCAGCCCTGCGAACAGACGCATGTGCCATTCTTGCACTGTCCGTGCTCCGAGCAGCGGGCATCGCATGGCAGTTGATCGCATAGATTACCAGTCCAGCCGGAGTTGCAGCGACACTTGCCCGACTCACAGACACCGTTGCGGCCACAGTCCAAGCTGCAGACAGCTGTGGAGCAGAAAAAGCGGAATGCGTTATAAATAAATAAGGGCTTATGGTCTTCTAAGGGCATGGGTATGGGCAGAGGGAGGGGGCGGGGGCGGGGGGAGGCCAGGGGTGTCCTTCCTAACTATATACACATGCTCGCACATATGTAGATATATAAATTTATATATTTGTACATATGCGCGTTTAAATTCATTAAAGTATTGTTGCCAACGTGGCGTATACGCATTGTAAAAAGCTTCGCGAATTGCTCTTTGGATGGCGGATGCACCATGGCTGATGGGGAGCGGGGTGTTCCGGATGGTCGGAGGTTCAGAGGTTCAGAGGTTCGGGGGTGTGAGTCTGAAAGCGAACGAGTGAACCATAAAAATAACATTATAAATGTTACATTTACGTGGTGGCATCGCCAACTGGCAGTCTGTGGCATACTTCGCCAGTCAGCGCCCAACTCGCAGCCCTTAGACCCGACCCATCCGCAGCAATACACCCCACTCCACCACCCCCAATGGTGTGCCTCTTCAAGCTCAACTGGCATGTTGACTGTGTTATGCATGACTTTTGGTCTGCCAGCCATTCAGCCATTCAGGCAGCAGGCGTAAATTTATTTTATTTCCTGCGTACTTTGGCCTCAACAACAGCAATAACAACAAGAGGAGCTGCAGCGGTACAACAACAACAACAACAACAACAGCACAAATAATATAAAAAAACTGTATTAAATAAATAAATAATGAATTTTTATGAACCCCTGCTTCATTACACGCTGCCGGTGCTAAAAAGTTAAGCAAATTAGGCGTGCGTGCCTGTGACGAGAACGACAAGGACGATGAGTGCGATGGGAACGATGGGAACGTTGGGAGCGATGAGCTCGACCTGGCCACCATCGCACTTTACAGCATGGGCCTGAAGAGCCGGGAGAGCCCTTTGTTCTCCAGCCAGCTAACATTATCGTAAGCTGCATGTTTTATTGGACCGGTGTCGGTGTCGGTGTCGACGTCGGCGTCGGTGTCTCGAAATTATTATGGACCACAGGATGCGGTAAGCAGAACAAACAGCAGCAGCAGCAGCTGGGGAGGCGCAGCAGTTTTTGATGTCGCAACATAAATTTAGTTCTCGCTCATAATCAGAAATTTCGCTTAATTGAGGCGTGTTTTATGCGGCGTATGCGCAACATCTAATTTGCCCAACGGCTTAGCCGCAGTTATAAAAACCACATGCCTTCGCATCGCGCACACACTTTACTCAACACTCAGCCAGGACGGCTAATAAAAATTGTATGTACTCGCAAGTACATATATACTTACATACATACATAAGTATAACTGCATTAGTTATATGATGTTTCGCCTCACTTTACGAGCCACATACTCGTGGAGTTCAAGCATCTCATCGCATCATCCTTCAGAGGCATAAAGCCTAACAAAGTTGGCGACAACCTCAATCACTCGCTGATTACTTGGCACAGGTTTGGCGGCAGATTTTATGGACCGCCCGATAATAAAGCCAAAGCTAAAGCAGCCAATCTGCATATGAGCTAGTTTAATGCTTGATTTCAACAAATTAAATATGATAATGATTCATTTGGAATATGAAAAACATTTACGGCCACTCTCACGAGTTGACAAACTAAGTACTTTCTTGAACTGAGCAAGTTCTCACTAGAAATGGTTCCAGTTCTTCTTAACCATTGATTGTGCAAGCTGCTCTTTGTTATGAAGAACTTAGTTAATAATGTACATGAAATAGCTATGAGTTCCCACAGCAATGAGATAATAAATAAGATAATGAAATGAAGAGCTCTTCTTTAATTGTTGGGCTTGCAGTTCAAGCAAAAAGAAGCTTGATTGGCATTTGATTGACTTTTAATGTACAATTATTTTCTGGTAAGTTATAATTTCATGGCGGAACTCAAACTGGATAATTGAAATCTAAGTATTTTCCTAAACTAAGCAAGTTCTCACTAGAAATGGTTCCAGTTCTTCTTAACCATTGATTGTGCAAGCTGCTCTTTGTTATGAAGAACTTAGTTAATAATTTACATGAAATAGCAATGAGTTCCAACAGGAAAGATTTATTGAAATGAAGACCTCTTCTTTAATTGTTGGGCTTGCCGTTCAAATAAAAAAAACTGCAGCGTTTCAATTCTCAAAAGACACGATTGGGAAATAAGCTTTGGCATTTAATGTACAATTATTTTCTGGTAAGCTATAATTTCATAGCGGAACTTAAACTAGATACTTGAAGTCTAGAAATAGTTCAGTTTTTATTAGCTATAGATTGTGCAAGCGCCCTTTGCCCTAATTAATACTTTAAATACAAAAAAATAGTGATTAGGCCGCTTCTTTAATTGTTGGGCTTGCTGTTCAAACAACAACGCTATTTCCTCAAGGTACAGATACAGTGGTAGGTACGATTGGTAAATACGAATTTGTTGGCAGTTCATGACTAAACAATTATTTTCTGGTAAGCTGCATAATTTCAGTTAAATAATAAACGGTTCGAGTTATTATTTCGAAGGCTTGCGGGCTGAGCTAGAAATGCGATTTTTAATGTTCAATCACAAACAATAGGGAACAATGGAACCAAACCCGTTTACTTTCAATTGCCTTCCATTTAAAGCTATGGGATTGTTGGAATTATTAAATTCGCATTCAGCTTTAACATTCTATCAATCACAGTACTCAGAGTGTGATTCCTTTTTCTATTCGACCGGACTCTGTATGCTGCAGTTTTTGTGTACATAAACGCTTTCAGCTGAAACTACTGCTGATTCAATCAGAGCACAGCGCACAGCGCACATCTAATCGAATATGCAGCTCACTTTGTTCAGCACACACACACACACACAATCATAGACACGCACACATCTACACATAAGGCGCAAATAATTATTACTTTCGCACACACATACGAGTACTTCGTAGCTGGATGTTTGTTTGCATGTACTTTCCATTTATTGCTGTTGTGTGTGGAATTGAAATATCATTTGTACTTCAGCATGTTCTGGCCAACACCTGCACAAAGCGCAATAAAAAACAACAACAAAAGGCAAGTGGCAAGAGGGTACATCCACTGAGAAACGGAAAACAGTTCAAACACACGTACAAATCTAAGCAGTTTATTTTACTGTTGCTGTTCTTGTTCTTGTTGTTGTTCTTGTTGTTGTTCTTGTTGTTGTTATTATGATTGTTGTTATGGCTGGAAGGCGAGTGCATTACAAGCCGCTGGTCATGCTGAAAAATGGTTAAGGTTTGTTTGAGGTGGGGGCAGGACAGGTCATTCTGTTTATCATCGTCATCATCATCATCAGCATCAGCATCTTACACTTTTTCTCCATTCTAGCACTTACCTTGCGAACAATCTGGTCCAGTCCAGTGCCGTTCACACACACATTGTCCCGTTTCCAAGTCATAGGTGCCGTGCTCCGAACAGCCAGGCAAGCATTGATACACTTGCTGATCAATCGTTCCGCAATCCTCTCCCTGCCAGCCGGCCTTGCAATAACATTGGCCGGCCACACAAGTGCCATGGCCCGAGCATAATGGATCAAGGCAATCGTCTGCATTTTTATTACAGTTGTTGGGTTGTGTTGTGTTTGTTGTTGCATCGGGAGGATATGGTTTAGTTGTTGGTTGTTGGTTTTTTTTTTTGTTTTTTGGGTTGGAGTTTGTGTTGTGTTGATACATAGAAAAATACAAAACGTTGTTAGTAGCATGGCATAAAAAATACACAATATGTACAGCACAAGACACACGCCACACGCACACATACACACACACACACATACATAAAGCGAGAGTGAGAGAGAGAGAGAGAGAGAGAGAGAGGGGGAGAGAGTGAGAGTCGGCGGAGCAGTGAAGGCGCTCAGTTTGGTTTCGTTTGGTTCGTTGGCTTGCCATGTCTTGGCAAAACAAAAGCCCGGCACGAACGTTGCAAGGCAAAGGCGGAGCCCGGTGGAAGCGGGTGGCATCGGGGTAGCGGGGCAGCGGGGCAGCGGGGTAGCGGGGTAGCGGGCAGCGCACATGACATGATTAGTATGTTAGACACGTACGAAAGTGGTCATTAAAATGAAATTCCAGTTTAGTTGAAGTTGGTAATTTTGCGCAGTTGTTGCAATTTTTTGTGCCATGCCTGTGTGTGTTCTATGTGTGTTCTATGCTACGGGTTTTTGTGTTTTCCTTTTTTCTTCGCCTTTCTCTCGTTTGTTTTTCGCAGTCTCTGTTTTTGTATGTGTAGGGAATATGCTTTCAACATATGAATTCGATTTTATACGTTGACTGTTTGCTGTTTGTTTTGTATGCCAAGGGTCCGGACTCTTACACACACACACACACACACACACACATACTTACAAATGCTTCCAACGAAATCACACGGCTTACAAAATGCACGCCTCTACATGTTCGTGTGTGTATGTTAGGGGAAACATTAAGCATAAAAACGTTGGCAACACAACCAGAGAAAGAGATAGAGACAGAGGAGGAAAAGCGCCGAAATATGTGTGTTGTGTTTTATAATTTTGGTTTCATTTTCTTTGCACTTTTTGTTAAGTGCACTTTTTCTGGCTTTTCTCTGCCGCGTGAGGAACTAGACGCAGCCAATTGGCTGATTCAGCGCGAAGAGATGGCTTTAAAAATATTGTTGCCTACTTATCAGCGCATCTTTGCCCGGCCACTCATCGCCTACTTTTGCGTTAACGCTTTTGCAGCTCGACCAAGCAAATACTAGAATAGCTTATACGACTTAAACGATAACTAACTTCTGGCCACTGGCTAATCATTTTGAAGCACTTGCTAAGAGTTTCAATGCGGGAGCTCGCCTTAAAGTGCCGCAGGACACGCACACAAATGCACACACACAAACGCACAGATATACAAAGAAATTGTATATAGTGGAAAAAATATGCCGTTAGTGAAATTCCTGTCATTTCATTCAATTCCTCATTTCCTCTTTGCCAACTTAAAGAGACCATGTCAGCGATGGCGGCGACGGCAGCAAAAGCTAAACGCTGCCGCACATAATAACTGAAATATTTTGCGTCCACTTCGACGCGTCCTCGCCGCAGCATTTTCCTCGGCACTTCGCTTGCTTATCAGCTTGTGTCAACATGTCGGGACGGGAGGACTGGGAGCCCAAGCACAAGTTTAAGCCCATGTCCATGTCCGTGCCCGTGTCCGTGTCCGACCGCCCGAAATTGCAAACAAGGCAAATAAATAATTTTAGCATTTTTATGCCAAGTCAGCAGCACTCAGTCACACACACACACACACCAATACTCACTCAGGCTCTTATATTTATATATGTATATATAAACTTACGTTGATCGCAGTACGGTCCTTTCCAGCCGCGCTCGCAGTGACACTCGCCCTCAATACAACGGCCATGGCTGGAGCAATTTGGCACCTCGCACTCGCCCACCGGAATGTCGCACTCTGCGCCCTTCCAGCCGTCCTCGCAGTGGCAGACGCCACCTCCATAGTGGCCATGAGCCGAGCACAGTACCGGACAAACGCCTACGAGACGGCGAGAGTGGCGATGACGATGGCGATGGCGAGGGCAAGGGCGCAGCACAAAGTGTGGCAAAATGAGAAGAGCAAATGAAATGGTTGGTATTAAAAAGTGCCAGACAAGAGTGAATGGATGTGAGGTGGGAAAGCATAGAAAGTAGGGATAAATTTCGAACAGAGGGAGGGGGTGGGGGAAGTAAATGGCACAGCACAGTGGAAGATATTGAAGGGCAAGGCTGCAACAATTTGCACAGGAAACTAAAACAACCGAGCTTACCAGCTTAATTAACTTTTGTGATGCTAATACAGAAGTGCTAGATGGGGAATAAAAGTGAGCTGGACTATGAAATGCAAGTAGAAACGTTTTTCAATAATAAAACGTTTCTTTAAAATAAAAAATACAGCTAATTCATTTTCCAAATGGTTTCTTTCTAAACAAACGAAAGGGGTAGCCCGACTATTGAATGAACAAGAAAGTTACCCTCCTTACCAGCTTAATTAACTGAATTAACTGATGATAATGCAGAAGTACTATACTAAGCAGGGTGAGAAAAGGAAGCTTGACTATGAAAAGCAAAATGCTTGCATTTTCAAAAAATACAGTTTATGCATTTTCCAAATGGTTTCCTTCTAAAAAAAAATGAAAGAGTAGCCCGACTATTGAATACACAAAAAAGTTATGCTACGAAAAGTGATTTCTTTCCACTAATCGGTCGGGAGGAGGTTATTCAAACAACGGACATGTGTAGTTAATAACTGACAGTATTGCTAGTCGGTCGCCTTCTTTTCCACTGTGCAAGAGCAGCGGAGGGGTTGAGCAGATTAGTAGCCAAAGCTGCGAGCTGATGGCCAGTCAGAGAGAGTGGTAGAGAAAGAAAGAGAGAGAGAGAGAGAGAGAGAGAGAGCCCGGAGCTTAGACTAAGGGCTAAGGGCTGGGAGGCCTTCGGTTTTTGGGCAGCAGCAGCAGCGAAGTGCGCGCCAAAGCAAAACAAATAAAACAGGTGATGTTGACAGCTCAACTTTTGTGGAAGTTTTTAATTTAAATTGCAGCTGTAGCAACCGAATGAATCATACAGTGAGAGGGAGAGAGGTGGGGGCGGGGGGTAGGAGGAGGGAAATAGGTAGTAGCTGAAATATACTCACTCTTGGAGCAGTCCACACCCTGGTAGCCATCGATGCAATCGCATTTACCCAAATAACAGCTGCCACGGCCAGAGCAATCGTTCGGACAGGTGGTGCTCACGCCCTCGGCCTCCTCGGCCAGCAGCGACACGGAATGAGCGACTAGTTCGTCATTATAGACAGATATGAACCACAATCCGGTATCCAGATACTGCAGAAGCGAAACATTCACCGTCATCGTGTCCATGTCGAGGGCGGGCAGGCCGCCACCATCGGCCGCCGAACGTTTCTGCAAGCCATGATGACCGGCACCCATGCGTTGTATATGAACCTTGGCGCTATCTAGGGGCGTCTCCACATCAAAATATTCCCCGGATTCGGAATAGGCCTGCTGCTGCTCATCACTCTCCTCGTAGCTGTTGTCCGAGGGCTTTGCCAGTCTACGCTCGTGCGATCCGCGTTGTAGCTGCTGCTCATCGTACATGTCGATCAGAGTGCTGGGATCCTTGTGGGCGACTGTGGCATTCACACTGCGGCGATGTCGCAAATGGCTGTCCAATCTGCCGCCCTTGATGAACTCAACAAAGTCGTGTTGCGTCACCGAAGGCGCCACATTGCGACGCGAATAGACGGCGAAGTGAGCGCCCCAGGGCAGAGTGAAGTTGAAGCGAATGAATGCCGGATGTTTGTTGCGAAATTCGAGCGTCCAGAATTGATAGGCCGGTATGTTGGCATGGTAGAGCTCATTAAATTCCTTCAGCTCGACTACTTGTGGCCATTGACCGCCGCTCAAGCCCACGCCCTGCTGCTGACCCTGGGCATGATGGCCGCCCAGACCGCCGGCGCCTGCATGCTGTTGTTGCTGCAGCAACAAATTGTGCTGCTGGCCAGCGCCTGAGATGAGACCACCCCCTCCGTATGTCAGTTGGTCCTGCAGCTGCGTATTGGTGGCGTCTTGCGGGGTCAGCGGTTGGTTGATGGCATGCGGTTGCTGCTGCTGCAGCAATAGCTGCTGTTGTATGCCCGTTGCGGTGGCACCGCCCGCTCCGCCCATCCCCAAGCCCGCCAACCCGATACCAATCCCAATGCCGTTGCCATGGTCCGATGTGCTGGTCTGTATGGATTCCTCTGTGGGGTAGACCGTAGCGCCTGACTGCGCCTTATCGTTCGACTTGCCCGCCCCACCGCGTAAATCGTGCGGCTGTGACTTGACGTCTTGGACTAGGATGCAATTAGTGCTGTCCAGGTTCGGTTTCATCGAACTGACTGCTGCAAAGACAGAGAAAGGAGAAAGGAGAAAGTTAGCGACACATCTAAATTAATGATCTGTAAATATTGTGTTGTGTCGTTTAAGTATTTTCGAAACTGCTCCTGCCCCTAGAAGGCCTCCCAAATGAAACCAAAGACAAACTCAGAAAGTAATTTTGTCAATTCTTTCCCTTGTTAATAAATTGGGAAGCACTTGCTAGCTAGGCAGTGCACCAACTAATTTGAATATTAATCACAGAATGGTTGTTTGAATAGATTTCTGATTGACAGGCAGTGGTTTGATTGCAGACCCGTGTTGGGGGTGGAAGAGTAGGCGCGTGTCACGCGTCTATCTCCAGCGTGTGCCTGCGTGGCTTGGCGTGAGTGCCTTCGTTTTAGCATCTTCTTGGTCCTGGCCAAAAATGTGCGCCATAAATCGAGCAGTGCAAAATTTCATCCATAAATCTTAATGGCACATTTGGCGCTCGGCACGCTTCGCCAATAGCAATAATGTTTAGTGTGTGCGTGCGTGTATGTGTGTGTGTGTGTGTAGTGGTGGAGTTGGCTGTGGTGTTGGCATTGGTAGTAGTGGTGCTGCTCATGTGGCTCCACTCGCCACCAGTCGCCGCATACGCAGCTGCTGCGCTCTTGGCACACGCTGCACTGCACCAAAGGCGAATGCCCGTTTTTCACACATAAATTTCGGCATCATATTTTAACGCCATAATAATATGCACGCGCGTATAAATCAAAATCACACAGACACACACACACACACACACACACACACAGACACACATGCTCGTATATATGGCGTGCAAGGCAAGCACCACAAAAACCACATGCGTTGCACACTTCTACATACAGAGTCGCAAAAACACGCACACAAAGTGCCAGTTGTTAACACGTTTGCATTTTACAAGAGCTGACGACGCCGATGTCGATGCCATCGCAGCTCCATCCATGGGCTATCGTTTATCGATAACTGCTGCAATTTATGGCCGGCTGTGAAAAATTGGCATCGCTTCCTCCTCCTAAGCGGATCGTCGCGGAGAGTCGAAAGCGAGGGCGAGGGCCCATCTCGGCACCACTTTTTGTACACATTTGTCGCAACGAATTTGAAACGGAAATGGAGCTTCGTTTCAAATCGCATCCCAGCCGCTCAGCCAAGTCCAAAAGTGTGGCGAATACGGCTTTAAATACCTCATTCATTAAATGTACATTTGTTATTGTTGAGCAAAGGAATCAGAATCAGAATCAGAATCAGAATCAGTCCAGAAGCACAAATAATACGGCAAGATATTTCACTAACTGAATTGGAAATATTACCTAATGTTTTAAATAATTGTTTCAGTTCAAATCATTTGCTGCCAAACAACAGTCTAATTTGTGTTCCAGAGTACAAATTTTAAATTGGAGACGAATGGGAAGAGGAATTCTGGTTGAAAAGCAACAAATTGAACGGTTTCTTGGATTGCAAGAGAAAGTTCTTCAATCAAATAAATCAATTATTATTATTGTTTAATAGTATAATATAAATTCGGATATTTCGTTGAAAATACAGAATTGCGATGCATTCGCATGTCGAAGAAAGGAGACTGATTTTAAAACTGGTGCAGAGATTTTCAATTAGGCTTCAATACCAGCATCATTTTATAAGCCTATTATTATAACAACAGCAATATTATAATTATAGCAACCCATTCAGCAAATACTATTCCAAGTAATTTCAAATGCCAGCCCCGATGAATTCCAATTAGCCAGAATATCGAACAAGTCGAAATACTTCTACTATAAATATGCACGGTGTAAGGCATTTTTGTTGCTGATATATATAAAGATATACATAGAAGTACATACTCGTGTATAGCCAGACATGTCCTTTTCAAAGAGCTGGTCTCGGGAGCTTTATTGAAGAGTGAATCAAAAGCGCCAATAAATGCCGCATCCAATTGCCTGAGCATACACTTACATACATACTCGCACATACTTGTATTTATGCATACGGGTATGTGCAGATGTGTGTAGACACACAAATATGATGCAGACAAGCGTATACAAGTAGGAATACCAATGTCCTGGCAATTATATAACAAACGAAAAATTAACGTCAACAAACGTGCTTCAATTTGCCTGGTTGAGCTTTTAATTTATGTGAAGCGCGTGTGCCAGCAGAGTACAAACGAATATATACAATATACAGAAATACTTATATCTGCCATATACAAGTAGTAGGCGCCTATATACCACACTCAGATCCATATGTATAGTGAGTGTTGTGTGTGTTGCCTATGTATTCAATTTCATGCCTGAGGCAGAAATAACAAACGAAAATTAACGCAAATGACACGAATATGCCCATCATTAATAAATTAAGAGTCTTGTGCGTCTATTAGGTTAACAAGCTTTTCATTTAAGTGGCAGACAAAGTCGTCGCCGCGGAGCAGACAGGACAAGAGGACATACGAGTAGAGGCCCACGTGTCTGGTTTTTATTTGGCTGGGCGCAACCCCCCCAAAAAAGTGGATAGTGGACGACGGACAGCGGACGGCGGACAGTGGACAGTGGACAGCGTGCAAACAAAGCTGCGGACCAACAAACAAACAAACAAACAAGCAAATGGACACACAAACAATTGGAGAGGAGGTGGTGGAGAAGGGCGAGGAGGGGAGGGGAGGGAAGGGGAGGGGAGTAAGAGACCTATCGATAAGCAGGAAGACCTCTTGGCACAGTTTTGTCCTTCTTGCTGCTGCTCCCTGTTTCCATTTGTATGCAGGAGTACGCGTGTGGGGCTCCTGGCGTCGCATTCTTGTTGCGCACCAATTAAACTTGATTACAATTTGTGGCAGCGCGCAGCAGCGATAACGATTTATATGCGCTATATTCGTACAAGTATAGTAGTATAAGTAGTATGCTATAGCTATGTATGGTCTACCAGACTATATAGAAAAAGCAACCCTATCGCAGCCGCAGCCCCAGCCCCAGCGAACGAAGGGGCTAATGGATATTTAGTTAGTTGCTGCCACAAAAAAGTCGATAATTCAACATGTGGCGACACTGTGGAAGACTTCACGATGGCAAGCATAGCACACAGTGTGCTGGAGGAGAACTTGCCAACGACTCAATTTTTTGTGGCATTCACACACACACACACACACACACACACACACACACATTGATATCGACATGAATGCATGGCAGGACACGCCTTTGTATGTCATGTCGTTATTTAGTATTTTTAGCCGGTTGCTTGTGTTTTTGAAAGGGTGTGCGCAGGATATAAGTTCAATTAATTTTTTCCGGCTTGTGTTTCAAGGCTTCCTTTTAAGGACTACAGCTATCTGCCAGGTCTTCCCTTACGTCCGTCTGCTCCGCTCCCTGCTCCCTGTTCCCAGCTCCCTGGTCCCTTTCGCATTATCTTCTCTCTGCTTTTGGCAGAATCTGTATAAAATGTTTGTAATTAATTTCCAGCTGCCATTTGTTGTGAGGAAACACACACACATACACACACACACAGACACGAATCTCCTAGAATACGCATTTTCTTTAGAGCATACCGATATACAAGTACAAAAATATTCGCCCAAGAGCAGGCTATACGCATTATTTGCACATGAAATGCTGCATGAATGGCATTGCAGCGAGGCTGCATTTTGCATTCTTCGACTCAAAGCCAAAGGATTAGAAGTGATTTTCCATTTACAGGAATATTTTGGGGCACACAAGACGCATACTGTTCGCCACGCCCCTTTCTTTCCTCGCCCTGCTTTCTTGAGAAACGTCCAATCAACACTTTCGTGCAAAATGGAAGGCGCAAAAAAGGGTGTGCAACAGGACAAAGTTGGGCAACAACAACAGCCACAACAACAGCCACAACAACAACAACAACAGCAACGATAATAACAACAAATTGCATGAAACATTTTGCTTAATTGCACTTCCTTAAAGAAAATCATTTATTTAAACGACAAGCGCACACCTTTTTGGTCAGAACCAAAGAGAGCTGCTCGCATGTCCTTGTTGCTGTTGCTGTGGTTCTTCTAGGTTCTATTGTTGTTGTTGTTGTTGCTGGCACTGCCACTGCCACTGGCAAATGTCGCTTAGTTGTAATTGAAATTGAAATGTCTTTCAATGTTTTGTGAAACTGGCACAAGTTTTTGAGCGACCCCTTGGCTTTCAACCCCTTTGGGCGCCACTCCCGAAAGCCTTCCTCGGAGCACCGCAAGCATTTCCAAATGTTGCAAGCACTCGTTCAAATGTTTTAGGGCTTCCTCAGCTCGTCACGACTGTACAAATAATTGAGCGTATATTTTCATTTATATTTGTTACTTTTCGGACGGACGGACGGACGGCTGCTCCTGCTCCTGCTCCTGCTTCAGCTCCTGCTGTTGCCTTTGACATCGACATCGGCTTTTTGAGTATTAATTGAAATTTGTTTGTCAATTTTTCAAAACGTTTTCTGACTTTCTCTTCTTCTTGTACTTCTGCTTGTGCTTCATCTTCCTCTGCTTGTAGTACTTTGTCTCTTTCTTGCTGCTTTTGTTGATGACCAGCAGTGCTAATTGAGTTTCTTTGTTGTGGTGCGTTGGCAAGTTACGCAAGAACTTTTACAGCTGATTGACAACGATGTGATGTAAAGCGATGCGATAAAAAGAGGCAAGGAAGAGGAAGTATTTTTACGTAATTCGTTAGTTGCGGGGCGGGGGGGAAACGGAACGGAACAGAACGGAAGCTGAAAGCTCAAAATGTGAAAATGTGAAATTGTGTAAACGTTGTGTGCGACTAATTGGCAGAGCACAGAAGTGAAGCCACAAAACGCACAACTTTCCGGGCAGAGAGCTTTTCGACCACACAGGGCCTTCTAACATAAATATGTATGCAAAGCCACACACACACACACACACACACACACACACGCATATTTAAATATATATGTATACGTATGTGTGTGTGCATGTGCATATATATTTATATCATCAATGCGTAAGTAATATACCTGGCAACCGCAAAGTCAAAGCCAA